GACGAAACATTATCATCACTACTCGCTTAAATATTTATTAAATTGGCTACGAAGACATGCAGACAGGCATGCGTAATTATTGTACGAACAATTGTAATGCAGAGGTGAAGTTTTGCATATGCACAGGATTAATTATTATTTTATTAGCCCAGTGCAACTTGTTTTTTTTTTCTTCCCGGTAGCTAATTCTCAAGAAATCTTGACCGCCCCACGTGATGCCATAATTAATTTATTGAATCTCTTCTTCGACATTATTTCATAAATACTGGGGCGGAGGCGGGGGTGGGGGGGTTCCCCGTGTAACGAACGTGAATACTGCAAAACTCAACCTGATTAAATGTCGCCTGCATTATTCTCCACGCACTAAATTGACGTTACATTGCATGTAAAAAAATATGCTAATTGTAAATGACGGGTGTAGCTCCAAACAAAATGCACTAAACGACGCATTCTCACTGTGCTTGACTCTTGTCTTTTTTTTTTAAAGCAATTACCTGCCTGTAAAGTGTCTTCTCTGGTCATGAATTTCCCGAATCACTGTCACAATGGGAAAATACATGTTTTTTATTCCCATTTTATCTTACGCACAAAGTTCGCTCGTTCGTTTCTCAGGCCGCTTGTCCTGGTGAGGGTCGCGGCGGCAGCGTGTTGAGTGGTGGCGGTCCACACCTCCCTCTACCTGGCGACAGACTCCAGCATTACTACACTATACACTACTATACACTATACACTACTACACTATACACTACTATACACTATACACTACTATACACTATACACTACTATACACTATACACTACTACACTATACACTACTATACACTATACACTACTATACACTATACACTACTATACACTATACACTACTATACACTACACTACTATACACTACACTATATACTACACTATACACTACTATACACTATACACTACTATACACTATACACTACACTACTATACACTATATACTACTATACACTACACTATATACTACTATACACTACTACACAATACACTACTATACACTATACACTACTATACACTATACACTACTATACACTATATACTACTATACACTATACACTACTATACACTACTATACACTATACACCACTATACACTATATACTACTATACACTACACTATATACTACTATACACTATACACTAACACACTACTACACTATACACTACTATACACTATATACTACTATACACTACACTATACACTACTATACACTATACACTACTATACACTATACACTACTATACACTATACACTACTATACACTACTACACTACTATACACTATACACTACTACACACTACTATACACTATACACTACTACGCTATACACTACTATACACTACTACACTATACACTACTACACTATACACTACTATACACTATATATCACTACATTATACACTACTATACACTACTACACTATACATTACTATACACTACTATACACTATACACTACAGCACTATATACTACTATACACGACTACACTATACATTACTATACACTATATACTACTACATTATACACTACTATACACTACTACATTATACACTACTATACACGACTATACTATACATTACTATAAACTACAATACACTACTACATTATACACTAATATACACTATACATTACTATACACTACAATACATTATACACTACTACACTATACACTACTATACACTATACACTACTACACTATACACTACTATACACAACTACACTATACACTACTACACTATGCACTATTACACTATACACTACTACACTATATACTACATTATACACTACTAAACACTGCACTACTAAACACAGACTCTAGCTCTTCCGGGGTAATTCCCAGGCGTGTCAAAGCCAGCCGAGCGACATCGTCCCGCCATCGTATCCTGGGCCTGCTCCGGGGTCTTGGCCCAGTGGGACAAGCTGCTGCTGCTGCCCGTTAGAGTAATAGGTGGAGTCTACCGGGGGGGGGGGGGGGCGGGGGGGGGCATCCTTACCGGGTGCCCGAACCACCTCAACTAAAACAATAATATTTTGATGCAAAGTATCTTGTAGCAAAGTGACTGTCACATTTTCAGTTTTGCGATATTTTTCAAGGATTGATTTGATTCACTAAATCTGTGGTGAATATAGCGGCCTCTGGTGGCTTATAGAGTCCCGAAAAGGCTTTACAACCAACGTAAATGCAGTGAAAAATGTTGACTGCTTAACACTTGATTCAATGCATGTATTTTTCCTACTTTAGCAGCTATATTAATCGATGAATCATCTCATCTGCCCTTAGAGTATGTTCCAGCAGTTGCCTCCCCTGTCTGTCTGCACGTGCATTCATCTAGAATGCTAAACAACAAAATAATCGGTGATACTGCATTGATAGTGGTGCACAAACACACACACCAAAAAACTCAACACACATGTCAATAGTTCTTTATCCCCAAAGAGGAAAAATTCTATACCCATCTCATAGGCCATGTTTCTGTCAAGAGCCCCTACATAATATGGGCCAATTGTCCACTCGTATAATTTAGCCCATTTAGATGCCCTTTCCAGGAACAAAGCAGTCGTTTGTATTGAACTCACAAACAATATATTCTGCCTGTATATGACCAAGTGTTTTTCAAAAGCAATCAACGGCGTCTGCCGTCGACATTTTCTTGAACGCCGGATGTCTGCAAAAAAGTGTCTTGGGACGCTCTCCATTGAGATCCTTGCTTGGTTTTCAGCTCTAATCCGGCACACTTATTTTGTCAATCTCTGATCATCAAGGAGGAGAACAGACTGCCATCACAAGTGGTCTTAATTGCTCGTCTTCTGTTTAATCACCGTAAATTCACACCAGTGCACTCTGTCAAAGTGCTGTCATCTCTGCGTCTTTGGGGTGCCTTCCCAGACGGAAGCGCATTAAACCAACCTCGGACAATGCCACGACTCACTTCATTCCTGAGGGGTGGAGAAATACAACGTTTGAGATAAAATGCGAATGTCGTGGAAGACTTAGAAGCATGAGAAAATTCGAAAGCATAAGCAAAATAAAAAAAAACTTTTTTTATTATATTACCACAGTGTATGGTATAATACGGATTAAGTCACCTCATGATATTATGTATCCTAAACAAAAATACACTAAATTTGGATTTAAAGCTTTCGTGACTGCAGGGATTCATCTTCTTGGTTCTTTCAGTAAAGTCACGTAGAAGGGAAATAATAAAATAATAAAAATAAAACACAATAAAATAATTCTCACGACGTTTCGGCTACAACGCAAGCAGCCGTCCTCAGGTAGCCGAAACGTCGTGAGAATTATTTTATTATGTTTTATTTTTATTATTTTATTATTTCCCTTCTACGTGACTTTACCGAAAGAACCAAGAAGACGAAAAGCCACTCACAACAATTACGAGGGTGTAACGCACAGCACTGTCATCACCTGTCCACACCTCAATGAAGTCTCAGCCGCTCCCGGTAAATTAGTTCGGTCAAGCAAATAAACGCTGGCACAAACATTTTGTACGATTAAGTGAACGGATGTCGCAGCCTTTCCTCCTATACTCAGGGGACGATAACTCGAAGGGAACGCACGATGGGCAATGAAGTCAGGTCACGTCGCTACTCATTCTGTTGAGCGTTTAACATTTGATTAGAGTTTGTTTGATATTGACTCTATATGCCCCCCTCCCCACCGCCCCCAATGAGTTTCTGTATGCCCCCCCCCTCTTTTAAACACAGTCACCCGACAAGATTGCTTAACAGCCCCACGCCAACAACACCTAGCAAGCATTCTACTTTAGCTCTCATACGAGACACGTCTTAACCATTTCGATTTAAAGCTTTCGTGACTGCAGGGATTCATCTTCTTGGTTCTTTCGGTAAAGTCACGTAGAAGGGAAGTAATAAAATAATAAAAATAAAACATAATAAAATAATTCTCACGACGTTTCGGCCACAACGCAAGCAGCCGTTCTCTGGTGAAGACCAGGTCTGTCGGGGAGACAGCGTCTGACAGACCTGGTCTTTACCTGTGGACGGCTGCTTGCGTTGTGGCCGAAACGTCGTGAGAATTATTTTATTATGTTTTATTTTTGTTATTTTATTACTTCCCTTCTACGTGACTTTACTGCAAGAAGCAAGAAGACGTCTTAACCAGGCTGGAACATCTGCTCAGCTTCTGAGATACGACCGGGGTGCATTGTTGGTAATGTTTCTCATTACGCTTGTTCACCCGGGGAAGTCTCACGGAGTCTAAAGACTATTCTTTATTTCAGGAGGGTCCTTGCCTCGTAGGCTCTCAGTGATGGCATCACCTTCACTCCTCTATTTAAGACCGAAGCAGGAAGGCTTCTTCACAATTATGGCAAAAAATCGCTCGATGAAACCTGTTTGAAATCGCCAGCCAGAAGTCACTGTCCTCAATTTGTCAATGTTGTGGGTTTTGCCCTCCGACGCACACACGTGTGCTGAAGTATTAACGAATTTGCACGTTTTGATTACGTGCCAAACCTTACTAAGTGGCTGCGTCAGGTGGTGGCAGGTTCATGACACATTTATATATTCACGCGATGTAACCCAATAAAAAAACTATTAATGGGTAATATTGGTCGTGAAAGGCTGCTGCTGCTGCTGCGTGTTAAACCGCCCTGCCAAGTTTTTGCACTGGGGGGGGGGAGTTGCTTTGCGTAATCCCAATTAAGTAATTTTCAAGAAATGTTTGCGGCATTTGGATATTTGACAAATACCAGTTAAATCTGTATATAGCTATGTAACTAAACCAGAGAACATGGAGCCAAACCCCCATCAGAACAGGTGAAGAAAAGTGGAAGAACAGGGGTAGAACCTACAAATTCCACGTGGAAAAGTTCCCGAGTCAGGAATCGAACCCAGGTGCTTCTGGCCGTGAGGCCCAAGTGTTACCACTGTGCCACCTTGCTGTCCTGGCAGGATGATTTGTGACATTAAGTTGCTTTATCTGTGTTTGTTGCAGACACCTCAACAACGAACACGCTCTTGATGATCGGAGCACGGCGCAATGCAGAGTGCAGATGCAGGTGGTGCATCAGCTCGAGATTCAGGTGAGTCCGTGTACAAGTACAGACACTGACTAAACCTAGTTCCGGATGACGACTTCTCCGACACGCAAAAATCGGAATCTTTATTGAGACTGCAGGAGGAGGAAATCCGATGAGCTATGAAGCTCTTTTTCACAGATGTCCAGTTTTTTTGTTGCAGAACTGCTCTCCATCTGCCTACCATGTAGCCACACAGCAACCTATAGCAGACACATAATCTGAATATCTATTGATACTGGAGGAATCCGAAGAGCTGTAAAGCTCTTTTGTCACAGATGTCCAGTAGGGGCGGGTCACAGCGGTTCAACAGCAAACAGTGCAAAGTCTAGGAAAGGTAAACACAAAACACTTTACCGAATTTAAACTAAAACTTAACTATTATTATCTTACCAAGTGAAGCCCACGACATTATTTGCTTCTCTTTCAGAAGTTACCTGGCCACGAATGATAGCTCAACGAAGTGGCTTATCACGTGGACGTTTCTAGCAGCAACATAATTTGAATCACCAATAGCATCCTGTTTGTGCGCGGTGGTCAAACCTGCTGAGCTGCTCAAATATAATGAGAGCAGTGGCATTCTGGGGGATTTGCTCACCGGCTCGCTTTGAGCGAGTGGCAGAGGTCAATCCCTGAAATTGACCTGCTCATGGCGCTGATGGCAGAAGGGTTTCCTCGAGACGGGGACTAAAGAGATCCCCTCAAGAGGGTCTCTTGGCCTACCATCTCATGCTCGCCAGGCATCTTGGAAGGGGTGGAAGTTTCCACGCTTGACCTGACGATGCGCTGGCTGTGGGTGCACCCATTGATGCTGCTGAAAATAATAACAACGTTTCGTCCTTACGTAAACGCGCTGCTATAACGAGGCGTACCCTTGCCCTGTCAGTTATTTGTGTTTGTTTGACCATACTTTGCCAAGCCGTGTCACGACGGGTTAGGGAAAGTGGTGGTTGTCATTTGCCATGGCTGCGAACCGAACTCTGGAAACTGGGCTCATAGCGCAGTGAGCGAACCTGATTACACAGAAGCACAACATATGGAGCTAAGAGTGAGTGGTAAGAAACTTGCCAAACATTTCTAAGACTCGTGACTGGGAATAAAACCCACAGCATGTCCAGTTCACTCGACTCGACATCACAGTGGCTTACATCTGCAGAATAAGCCCATCAATAATTCTTTCATCCTCCGTCTTATTACCGAATGACAAAGCATTAGCCTCAGTTTATCCTGTGATTGTGATAATATTTCAAACTCGAGGCTGTTTATCAAGATGTCTTTTTTCGGTTCAATGCAACGATATTTTTAGAAACAGCAATAGCTTGCCCACACCACCCCATGGCCCCGCAGTGTTCCGCGTTGCCCTACCCTCGAAAAACAGAGACGTAAATGGATATTCCACTGCAAACAGCATGTGTGTTTACCAATGTAGGGTCACATGCGATTATTTCACTGCATATAGGATTCCCATAATAATACGTAACATCTGAAGGTTCTGGTTATTTCACATACTTATATTTCTGCACGGATGTCTTTTATAAGGCTCGTTTAAAATTTCTCAGCCGTATATTATTAGGTTTTTTTTCGACAATTTTTATTTCTTTACAAAAGTGGAATGTGTTTAATTGAGAGATGGGCAGCCCTCGAGATAACATGTTTTTTTTCTTTCTCAAAAGAACCAAAAAATTGCACGGCCAACTCTTTTATTTTTTATTTCACACCCAGCGATTGACTTTGTCTAATGAAACATTGTCATCGTATCTGAATGGCACTGTGCTCCCACTCAAAGCATCCAAAGAAGTTTGGAGTCGTTTGCATGTTAATGATACATAAAAGCATTCCACGCTTCACTTTAAATACATCCTTTGTCGGGCAGTTGATATTTCTGAGCGCGCCTTGTGATGTTCCGTGATGGAAAAGGCGTCCAAACCCTCCAAGTAAGGAGACAAGCCAATGGTCGTGTCTGATTGCTCTGAAAGAAGGGTTTTTTATTATTATTATTATTATTATCCCAGAGGGCATTCACCGTGATCTTGAAAGCCGAGTTCTGTGGAATCTTCTGACATTGGGTTTTATTATGTGCATACTTTTTTTTTAATAATGGCAAAAAAATAATAGAAAAGAATATATATATATGACATGGGGCAGAATTATGCCTTGTGTTTAGTCCAGCGGCGAGCACGCGTCTGACTTGAGCAAAAGCCTGAGATTTGCGCATGAGCGACTGGCTTCTTGCGGATGCCACCATTGAGTGTTGGCGGAGTGGCACACGGGCCTTGCGACGTAGAGGTCGTCGGTTCGATTTCATCTCCCGCCGCGGCAGATGAGAAGCATTAACGCAGGTTTCTGAAATCCCCCCCCCCCCCGCCGCCCCCCATTATGGCCGCCCTCCTCCTGTGTCTACCCAGCAGCAGTACACATGGGCTCAGCGCACAGTCGATGGGCAGGCCGCATGTTGATAGGGTAAAGTGTGGGTAATCACAACTCTCCCAAGACTCCGGGCCAGCTTGGAAGAGTAGGCTAAATACCCTCAAGGAAATTGCAGGACTGGCACATGCAAATAACACAAAACTCGCTTTCCAAAATGCATCGCTGCAGCCTCTCTCAGTCAGAACACTCACGACCGAATATTTTTTTTACAAACGGCTGATGGTTTGATTCCCATGCCTGGTTTTGGTTTGGGCACAACAATGCATCATCGATTCATTGGCTGACAAAGATTACTACACTGACAACGCACGCTACAAAACACATGTGCCTGAAATGTTAATGGAATGTGTTCACGTGAACTCCTCCAGTTACTAGATGCCACTACATTCACCAAAATGTGATAGTGTATATTTATATATTCTTGAATCGAATCGCGACCCTTGATAATGACAAATCACCGGATCGTGACCGGAGTGAATGTTACATCCCTACTGTTTGATAACGCAGCGGTGCATTACGAAAATGGATGTTACAGATCTTGAGAAACCATTCACAAGTGTAGGTTATTGAGTGCTCTAGACTAAATCCCACATTTTAAATATAGCCCCAAGTCAAATATGAAAAAGCATCGCACTATCCAGCTATTATCTTCCATTTTGTAGCATTTCTTATAGGTTCATGTAAAATTAAAATCATCCTTGTGATTAGCTGTACATCCCACGAATTCAGAAGAATCATGATGCCACTGCGTATGTTCCCACGGATGTGCCGTGCAGCTCTCTGATGTCTTTCTGGGTTGTACCGCATGGCATTCGGCATGATTTCCGACGTTTCAGTTCCTGAAGAAGCTCCCCAGAACGTCGAGCAAAAACGTCGGACCTGACGCCAAGCAAACTAAAAACGAAACCCTTTTTTTACGATACTATTTGTATTTGTAGCAGGGAAGGCTCACCAGGCTATATAGCTTTTTTTAGAAGTGGCCTGGCCACAAATGATACTTCAACGACGTGGCTTTACACGTGGCCATATATTGCAGCCAAATACTCTGAAACACAAGTTGATTCTAAATGTGGAGGGAAAAACCGGAGGACCCATAAAAAAATCCACGTGACCACGGGGAGAGACACGCAAACTCCAAATATACACAACAGGCGTCAGGGTCAGAATCGAACCCACGACTGCCTGTATACCAGGCGAGGTAGTTAACATCTCGCCACCGTGACACGCGACACGACTCAGGAGTACGTAGAAGAGCCACACACAGTCATGCGCATTTACGCCAAATTGCAATGTAGCAGAGTGTAACAGCCCACGTCATTTGACCAACCTGATGGGGTAATTACAGGCGCAGTTAAATGAGAACAAACACCACCTTTATCTTTCAGCCAACCATCCAATGCCCACACCACTGAGTCCATAATTGGATTGACAGTGGATTTTTTTTTTCCAAACAAGATGTATAAATAAGCAATAGCTTTCCATAAGTAACTGTTTGCTAAAATATTTAATGGGTCATCCTTGTGATGCCTTAAAATGCCATCTCAGTGGAATGATGTGAGTTTCAGTGCTATATTAACATATGCAACTACTCAACCTTTTCAAGCTTGTCATGTTTTTGGAGTTTTTTATTTGTATGGAGCATCCAGACTACTTATTGCTATGCCAGGGAAACTTAATTTCCATCAATCCATCCTTTCATTTTGTTAATTAATTTTTTTCCGTAGCGTACGAAACTCACCGTGAAACTTACAACACACCCTACGCAAAGCTTAATGTGCAACCCTGCAATTTCTCGCTCACACCACTGTTGGCAGAAGAGTATCTGCTAGAAGGAACCCCAGAGAGCCACTCTGGCGGGTATATTGCCCTGCTCATTACTTGCTGGCCAGACATCTTGGCGGAAGTGCGGGTACCCACACTTTACCACACCACGCGCGACCTTCCGATCCTTTAACAGTGGTGAATCTCATAATCAACGTTTTTGGCTTTAGATCGCGTTATTTATAAATGTGTCGTAACCCTCCACCACCCAACACGGCCAATCAGTAAAAAAGTGTCACGTTGACAAAAGACAAATTAGTTCACTGCTTTAGCCTTTTGTAAACGTGACACTTTTTTACTGGTTGGCCGTCTCGGGTGGTGGAGGGTTACGACACATTTATAAATAACGCGATCTAAACCCAAAAACGTTGATTATGAATAATATTGGTCGCGAAAGCCTACGTGTTAAAGTGGTGAATCTACTTATAATGTTGAGGGGGCTGGTGGTGGGGGATAGGGGCATTCTCTAAGAATCTTGCCCACTGTTTTAACTGTCATGCCGGGAGACTTTTAGATTTCAACTCCAGTCTGCTAACCATTGCAGCCGCCGCAAGAGTATCAACACTCACACATGTGCAGCGTTTTAGGCAAGTTCAAGTAATGATATTACTCTCAAAAATTTCTAAGACAATCTTTAGGCCATGCACCGTCTTGATTAGCGTGTGAGCATTATTATAACGTTTCGCGTGGGCGTGAGTGAGCGACGCCTTTTTTTGCATGGCTCCGTGCGCTCACGTCTTTCACCGCGGTTGATATCCCTAACCAAAACGGAGGCTCTTTTTTATTTAATATACCGGCCAGTTTGTTTGTTGTCAATAATGTCTCCCCATTTCTTTTGATTACAGCTTGACAAGGAGCGGGAACGGCTACAAGCCATGATGGCTCATTTGCACATGTGTCCACCGGAGCCCAAACATCCACTGCAACCCGTAAGTAACTCTCGTGTGTCTCTCCACGAGATGTTGACGCCCTCGCCTGGTATACAGGAGGTCGAGGGTTCGATCCCGACCCTTGGCGCCTGTTGAATATTTGGAGTTTTGCGTGTCTCTCTCTCTCTCTCCGTGGTCGCGTGGATTTCTCTCCAGGTCCTACGGTTTTTCCCTCCACATTTAGAATCAATATGCATTTAAAATATTTGGGTGCTATAAATTCCCACGTGATAAGCCACTTCGTTGAGCAATCATTTGTGGTCAGGTCGCTTCTGAAAAAGAGCTAGAAAGCTCATTGGTCCTTACCTGGTTTAAAAAAAAATGTTTAAAAACAGACACAAGGTATTTTCAGAAAAGTTTAGTAGCCTGGCCCATTCACGACAACGTAAAGAGGCATCCCACGTCGTCGAATCTGTGTAATTGGCAGCTCCACCTCCCGTCGACAAAAAAAATCGAGCGCGAGTTCAACGTATAACTGAGGAGCAGTCGGCGTTTGAGAATCTACGTGACACGGCGGCGTGGTTTAACGTTCGTCTTTTGAACAAGCAAAAAAAATGTAGATGAATTATTGAGGGAGCTGTTATTTGATTGACCGTCCCTGTGATAACAGTTACATTATTGCAAGAAACCGGGTTAACATTTAACGGGGGAAGATGATCAGTTAAATAACCATCACATGTAACCTCAAAAGCTGGCTAAAGCAGTGGAGAGAGAGAGAGAGGGAGATACATTGTAATCGATAACTATTTTCTCAGTTGGCTATATATTATTTTCAAATTGGAGTTTTTCAAATTGGAATTTCTCTCAGTATTTTGGTATCTTTCTGTCTGTCTGTCCTTCAGTGGGTCTCTCATTCGATTTCTCACCGTCTCATTTTCTCTCTCTCTCTCTCGCTTCACTCGTGACTTTGGCTCAGAATAACTTTGTGCAGTACACGAAGGAAGGCAAAAACTGTTTTACACACCAAATAGGCTTTTTATTAGTTTAGTGTTATTTTGACATTACTGACACAGCCTTGAATCATATAAAGTTTAAATAGCCGAGATTTAACTTTGTAGAAAAATAATTGTGTGGCACATATGGATATTACATTATAGCAGCTGTCAGGCTTTTTAACTTTTGAGCGTCTAAATTTCAAGGTTCCCACATTTGGCCATTTTCATGAATTTTTAATTTTGGTCAAAAGTATCACGTTAGTTAGCGGTTATCGCTTTGCGAATGTGATTTTTTTTTCCTTTCTCATTTTGCACAGCCACAGTCACTTAACATTATTGCATGTAGCATCCTTTAAGCGTTTATTGAAACACTGATTCAAGTTTTACTCTCGTATAAAGCTCACATCGGGATCGAGTAAATTAGGCACATAACTCCAGTCGTACGGATGCTTTCAAGTGCACGGGATCTCAGGCTCGATATATTACTGCCTTTCTTGCGCACCTGATTGGCAAAGGCTGTTTTCAATCGGAGTTTTAGTAGGGGGCACGTGGCCAGCAAAATTTGAATGTAATTGATGAGATGGTGCTGATTCATGTTCTCATATGCAAAGGCTCCAAGCCGAGACGGCACCTGCATTTGATGAATATTGATAGAAGGAATTTATTACCAAGGTGAAATGAGCTCTGAAGATTCATCGCAGCGCTCAGAGCAGCTATCAGTATATGAACATGCTGCGTGGTTACACCAGGCGATTACATTATGTCGTTAACTCGGGCTTTGGTTTTAGCATTAAACAGTGGCTTGTGGTCACGCCGTGCCCAGAAAGGAATTGTTATTAGACCTCTGCATCTGCAGTATAATGATGAGCTAGATGTCTGAATTTCCGGGGGTTAACACAGTACATGATTGAGTGTGTGTGTGTGCGTGAGTGTGAGCGTGCGAGTGTGCACGTGCACTGCAATGTGGTGGCTGTCGTCCAAGGTTTGATTCCTGCCTAAGCACATCAGCGGCGCCGACTGGTACACGGAATCGTCGTCTAGATTTACCGTGCGCTGTGTTACCATAAGCTCCGTTGTGGACGTACGACCATATACGGTTCTGGCCGTGCGTCCACTCCGGCTCATGTGCGGTATGCAATGGCAAGCCACGATATTCTATAAGATGAAATGGGGATGCTTGGGTATATTAATGATGTTTACTTAAGTTTCCTGAAGATGGATACGACAGTTGTTGAAATGGATTAATGAACATGTTAAAAATGTGTTATTTGCATGATGTATATGACCGGTTGGAAATACCGGTAAAAAATAAAATAACAGAACGTATCCCATAAGGAGTGATAAGTATCTTGGCGTTGTTTGCATTTGCCAAACAAAGTTGTGCTACGACCAACGATATACAAAACTACGCCTGTGCATGCAAAGTTTTCAGATATTTTCTAACCAGATATGAACACAATTGAGACGAAGGCATCTCTTTCACAATGGGCTATCTGGGATGAAGTACTCACATAATGCGTGCAAAAGGGTTCCAGAGTGCAAACAACTCAAAATGTCTGAATGAAACAACACATTTTTTTTCTTTTTAAATGGGTCAAGTCTCCCTGCGTAGACTCGGCATTAGTCTACGGCGGCTCTTGACTGCCAAAGCGGGCGGGCGGGCGGCGTGTCAGCTGCTCTGTCGTCGAACGATCTAGGAATCACTTTAAAACATCATCCCTCCAATTATACCACAGCTTGACGCTGGCCTATTGTAATAATTAGCTGTGACAGCCCACTTCTCCGGCTGCCTGTTGTGTGAGCCAGAAGCCCCAAAAAAAATCACATAGAGGCGTCCAATTGTCGTTGAAAAATGAAAAGTAAGTAAGTAAAAAATGTAATATTTGACCGCTTTCATTTCACCGATCTTTCGATGTTTTATTTACATTTTTTTGTAATTGTTGACGTGCATTGTGCACAATACCGCAGCTCGTAATTTTTGGCTCTTTTGGTGTCAGTGGGGAAAATAAGAGGAAAAAATGCATTAGAACGTTTTATTTACGATTAATTTAACATGAAGAATGACACATATTTGCTCTTGACCTGAAGGTGCACATTGACCTGCGTTTGTTTACGAGATCGATAGAGAAAACACGTTGAAGGAAGGCTGCCTCTGGGAACAGGGGGGAGAGGGTATTTATTCAGTTATAGTTGAGTGGCAATCAATTACTTTTGGCATTTCACAGCAGTCGAGTGCGAGCATAATCATGTAATCAATAGTATCGCAAGAATGTCCGTGCAGTACAATGCATTAAGCATCGTTAACGTCAAGCTTTACAGTGAAAGACAACGATCATTGTTTTTTTTTGGTCGGAAGGCAAATAATCTATTTAATTAGCGCCATTGTGGCAGTCAGTGCACTGCACATGATTTAATCGAGAAATACTGAAGAGTTGTGATTTGATGTTATCCAAATATGACCACGCGCTGTGTTGATGAGCATTTTATGTTCTTAAAATGTTCTGATGAACTGGAGTTCTCCAGCGATTGAGCGTTGTGCTGTGAATGTGTGTGCGCATGCGTCTGCATGTATTTTGGCCAGAACGTTAAGAGTCATTGAATCCAGCTAAACATAAATTGCCATCGAATTGCACAAAATCAGATACTGCGTTATTACCCAAGATGCATTTTTTTTCTTAAAATCAAGCTTTCAGCCACTTGTGATTAAACTGGGTCCTCAAGTGTAGAAAGTTGATGGTCTCAGCCTGGTCACTGATGACGCACATAACTCGTCAAATCATACTTGCTTCTGCATTTCATTTGCTTTAATTCCAGCTCTGATAATGTAAAATATCATCACTTTGGGCTGTCGTACAAAAACCTTAATCCCATATGTTGAGCAGGTAGGAAAGTTCTGCCCTCCACTGTGTGTGGAACCAGAGGTCACTTGAATGGATCTCAGAGGTAGTTCTGTGATATCTGCTACTATCACGAAGGGTTGCACTGCTCCGCGAGATATTGGATTGGATATTTTGTTGAGTGGAATGATGCCAATGGCGAAAATCAGTATAAAATTTTAGATAAAGTAAGTTCACAAAAATTCGTACAATTTTGCTTCCCGTTCAAGTTCAAAAGGAACTAGGCTAACAACTCTGTGATCCTACTTCCCCACGACTCCTAATTATCTGCCATTTCCCACGGGTAAGGAGAACAAGCTCTCGGATAACATCTCAATTAATAGGATCCGTGATGTTCGTGCTGCGCTTCACCGTGGATAAGAGGAGCACCATTGGTCCAGCGATGCGCGCAACAACGAGCCTCACCGCAGTTTCATTCGCATGAGCCGGCAAGTCACGAAGGCGCTTAACCTTGCCGCCGCGGCGCACAACGAAAGAGCAGGTCTACCACTCTGGTGTGGTTTTTTTTTTTGGGATGGGGGGGGCGGGGGGGGTTGTACCGAGTGGAGTTTGCGACGATGTCCAATGTTTTGCTCCACGCCCCAAAAAGAAACTCCCAGCAACCTGGATTCCGTGTCGCAACAGCACGCGGCACGACCAAACAAAAACACATCGGAGAGCTGCTCGCCCCGTGAAAATCTGCACGGTGGAAATAAGCTTAGCCCGTTTGCGCACGCTGGCGACAGCCAGCTACAGCGCGCTCGCTGCCGCGATCCTGTTGCTCGCCCGCGTCTCCCGGCTGACTCGTGCTCGTCCCTTCCAGTCTGTCCCCCGCCCGCCCGCCTGCCCGTCCTGTCCCTGTGCAGCTCAATTTGGTGTCGAGCGCAACTCTGGCCAAGAGCACGCCGGGGTCGCCGCTGCAGGGCAGGCCGCACGCGCCGCTCACTCCGACGGCCACGTCCGTCATCACGGCGCTCCCCCAGGGCCAGCCGGTGCTGTCGCCGCACACGCTGGCGAGCATGAACGCCGCTCGCCGTCGCCACCTGGACAAGTACAGTCTCCCGCTCGCGTCCGGTGAGACACGCACACTTGACTCGTTTCGCCTCGGCTCCCTTGCGATTTGGTCCCGCCACCATCCCCCGCCCCACCAGCGATGTTATCACAGTCCCCGGCTAGCAAATTGGTCCCCACTCCCGCTTAGCGCCGGCTGTGATATGACCGTTGCGCGGCTCTCGCGGTCAGAGCTCGCGGCTCACAGTGGGATGGACGCAAGTTGATATCCGCCCCCCTGCCCACCCCCCAACTCTTGGCCGGGTGGAATTGGAACATCGCACCTCCCAGGCTGGGAGATTTCGTGGGTTTATTGACACCCCCACCCACCCATTACCCCGTGACAATTGTCGATGTGTCACAGAGACATGCCTCCTGAATGTTGGACAAACTTCCGCGATAGTCATTTGAGTGTGTGGTTTTCTGCTCCCTTCGGCAAGGGTGAAATGAACCTTTTAAATGTAGAACACCGTCACATGTGAACAGTGAGCTCGGCACTGAGTCAGTAGCCAGTAGTTACTTGAATCGAATTTAGTTATAATGCGGTCATTACATTACTTCTCTTATCTGTGATGAATTGGGTACACACCTCTTTGCAGATCCTTTCTGTAATCTGACCAATAATAAACCAATCGCCAATAGGACCCCCCCCCCATAACTTATATTGAGTCTCCTGCTCCCACATCAATAAAATGGAGAAGTCAACCGTTGTCATGCCACGAATTAATTTCCAATGTGGAATTCCCACCCGTGGCTCAGGACAGGGCCATCAACAGAGATGAGCATGGCTTCATTGGACGTTCCAGCACGGAGGTGCTTAGACCCTCAACTTTGTTTCACTCTGATAGCTTTGCAACCCATTTTTTTTACATGCCTGGAACCAGCTGGCCATCTAGATGAACACGTGTACCTGCATTGAACACGTGTACCAGCTTTGGCACAAAACACGCCATGCTGCGTTTGTCAAGTACATTTCCCGTGAATCCTCATCTATGGGTACCAATAAAGAGATTTAGCAGAGGATGTTAACACCGTTAGTCAAAATAAACATCTTGTCATGCGTTTTTTTCCTTAACATTTTTGGTTAAAATAATCATTCAGAGATGATGACATTCATGAATAGCCTCCCTTCGACATTTGCATTTTCTTAGCTTTTTTCTGTTGCCAAGTACATTTTGATTGGTTGCATAAAAATATATCAAAAACTGTGAGTGCACATTGATAACTTGTGTAACGATTGTGTGTGTGTGTGTGTACGCCTCTTCAACAGAGCTTAGTCAGAATGAAGAATTTTACCAAAATGCAGAAGTAAGACCTCCCTTTACCTACGCGTCTCTGATTAGGCAGGTGAGTATTGCTTTCACACCGTGCTCATTAAAGCGAATCCATGTACAAGTAAATAAATAAATTAACAACCCCCCATATATTTTGAGAGAGAGAGAGAGAGAAAAAACATTCGGAGATGGGTTATGGAAATGCGCGTGGGTCATTGTGTAATGGCGGTATTAATGTGTGGCCTCGACCAAGTTGGAATGTAATAATGAGGAGGCAATTATTAATATTTGATGTGCCCTTTGCATTTATTTCAAAGTGAAATCGGCAGGCCAGAAGTGGAAGTGATATAATGTCTTTGTTCTTCCCCCATGCAATGGGTCCGCCAGGCCATCATCGAGACGCCCGACCACCAGTTAACCCTCAACGAGATCTACAACTGGTTCACTCGCAAGTTCGCCTACTTCAGGCGCAACGCGGCGACGTGGAAGGTAGGCATCGAAGCGAGTCAGCTGTTGTTGTCGTTGGTTGTTATTGGTTGTCACCGTCCATCGGCCTAATGGGCCTTCTCGGGCCGCCAATGTATTTCTGGAATTGGATAAGGATTTTGGCATTCATCGAGAGAGAGAGAGAGCCCAATTGCGTCAGCAACTGAAGGTTCCTCACGGCACGTCTCAATTCCATAGTTCCACATGGGTTGGCTGCTTAAGTAAATGCTTAGGTTTTTTCGGTAAAGTCACGTAGGTAAAAAATTTAAAATTAATAAAAGTAAAATTAAAATAAAATAAAAATCACGACGTTTCGGAGGCAACACAAGATTCCGTCTTCAGGTTGAAATTTTGGTTCAGGATTGACTCATTAGCCCATTATCTTATCAAGAGTTGATCAAAAATGAGTTACCAGTGTGTTGGGAAGTCAACTGTAGTTGTTTAATGTATAGCCAATAGCACTGTAGAAAATAAAATAAAAAATAAAATAATAAAAGGCACAGCAAAATATCTGTAGTAACACTACAGTTATTTTGCTGTGCCTTTTAACACCTGATGAAGGAAGCTTGTGTTGCCTCCGAAACGTCGTGATTTAATTGATTTATTTTCATGTATTATTATTTTTTTTGCGTGACTTTACCGAAAAAACCTAAGAGTATGAATCCTTGCAGTCACAAAAGCTTCAAATCTAGAAGCACTGTAGAATTTGCACGCCTGGCTCTGGGCTGTGAAGAGTGTAGATGAGTAGCGCCTCGATGCTCTTGTGAGCAAGGAAAATCACTCAGACTCGACTTGGCTTTGACTAAACATGCAGCCATTTTTTTGGCCGACATACACAAATCCATCCAAGTTTTTTTTCTATTTTGTTTGGCCTCCCTCTCTCGCGTCACGGCACCTGCTAAGCGCAGTGCTGGACATGTGCACCGTTGTTTTTTGACGTTTACGGTGCGAGATCAGCCTGTGCCACGCTGGCCACGGGCCCCCGGCGGCGCTTGTGGCGGATGTGAGAGAGCGTGCTAAGGTGCTTTTTGTCAGCCGTGAGCGGAGTTTTTTTCATTCCATCGTCGCGCACGGTTGACCAATTCGGGTTCCTGCGGCCGTCACGCGGACAGGGGTCAAACGCGCGTGAGGCCAGCGTTTTTGTAAAGCCCCATTTTTAACAGATCGCATTATCACCGCGAGTACTTGTATATATTTAAAAACATATACTTACATATACGTCGAAATATGCGGGCGCTGCGGTGGCAAGATGTTATCGCCCTCGCCTTGTATGCAGGAAATCATGGGTTTTATCCCGACCAGATGCCTGTATATTTGAAAATTGCACGCCCTTCCCCCTGCGCCTCCAATTAGCAGGGTTGGCTACGTATTGTGCGAAAGAAATCCAAAATACATACACACAAAATGACAGAACCCCTGCCTGATTTTGAACACGGGAATTGCTGCGCATATTCAGCCTCACCCAAAGCAAAGCGTAATCGCACGTGCGCACTTGTAAGCGCGGACATATGTTGATACATGAGCCACACACAAGCATGCTGACATTGGCAGCATTCGCGTTCTTTGCAGGTGTAAACATGGGTCAAGGACCCTTATTGAGAATGCGCTGCAGAACACAGCACGCCTAATGGAAGTGCCATTTGAAAATAACCAAAGGTGATCCCTTATGCAAGTAAATCCCAGCCAAGTGCAATGCTCCTCTCCGCTTTCCATTAAACGCGAATCAACGAGAGTGCCTGAAGAGACAAAAATAGTATTATTTAAAAAAATCCCTGCACGTGAATGTTTATTGTTTTTCGCTTGCTCAGACTTAAAAAAATATCTCAGTCCGTCGGTGTTAAACTTCCAGTCTGTGGGGCCCATTTTAATGTCATACCGGTAGGATTTCAAAATCCTTGCAGGCTGACGGACGTTAAGCGGAGTTAACGTTAAGAGGCATCGAAGGGAGACGGCTACTTGCCCAGATGTCACGATTTTGAGACTGTAGCCCAGGGCTGATATAAACCGAAGTGACATGCACAGAGTTGTGTATTTGCTGTTTATCCCATTCTGCCTTTGTTCCGCAAGTTTGTTCACTTGTGTTAAGTCAAGCGGGTTTTTGTTCGAAAATAATCTTGGAACAGAATTGTTAATGATCCTACATTCTTTTACTTTAGTGTTCTAATTGTGTTAATTAGCATGTGCATAGCAATTATTTTGGAATAATAATATAATACGAAGCGTACAGTAATGCCTTCTTTTTGGGGGAGTGGTGGGGCAGTGATTAGCACACTGTGATTCAGAACCCAGCAACCCGAATTAGATTGCCAGCTAGAGCTTATGTCAGTAGGGAGATGTTAACTCCCTTGCCTGGTATGCAGAAGGTCCTAGGTTCGATCCCGACCCTGACATCTGTATATTAGTACGTGGATTTTCTGCGGGTCCTCAGGTTTTCCCTCCACGTTTTGAATCAACAAGCGTTCAGAGTATTTGGCTGCTATAAATTTCCATGTGATAAGCCACCATCATTTGTGATAGCTAGGTCACTTCTGAAAAAATTAACCCGTAATAACAAAGTTTTTCACTAAAAAATCCTTTATATGCGTGGCATCGGTTTTATTTTATTATTAATTTCTGTTTTTCTTGACTAAGAGTTTCATTTTTATCACATTGGTATTTTAAATTAAATATTAAAATGTTTTCTTCCTAAAAAGTGGAAAATTTTGGAAAACATTTTTTACGAAAATAAATTGTCACGCACAACGAGTCTGTGTGCAAAATGTCGGCTCGATTGGATCACGGGAAGTGGGTTAAAAAACGACCGAAAGATTTGCACGGTCGTAAGCGCGCAAGCAAGCAAGCAAGTGAACATAATATAAAGGATTTAAAAAGATCGATATAGCTCGTGGGCTTTACCTGGTAAAATAAAAAGAGTTTAGAGTTGATTTTAGTTTTTATATTTGAAATGGCTTTGGGCTCCCCACCACCACTTTGCCTTCAACTAGCAGTGGATTGAAAATGGATTGATAAGGTTCTGAAAAAAAGGTTTAAAAAATGTCTATGTTTACAGGGTTTGTGTCTTTGTGCATTTCAAGAAGGGAAATATCCATAAGTGTGGATGTATTTGTATTAATATGTATACGGGTTAAATGTTATCAACGGCAATGCATGAATTTATTTCAGTGTTTCATTTTTTGACATTTACAAAAAAATATATAAAGTTGTTGTACCGAAACTTGTTAGCCACAGTATATTAAACTATGCCAAAAATCCAAATTCTAATTTTTTTATAGATACTTTCTGGAGTTGACAGTACTGTGACATTAAAATTGACCCAGATGTATCATGTTTAAATTAACACAGTAAGCAAAATTACTTTTTTTCTTCTGCCTTGATAGATATCACCCCCTTTGGTATCTGTCAGCGGGTAGTAACGCGATTATTGGTCTCGGAGCTCATTTTCACTTCTCTATCAAGCATTCCTCCAGAAGTGATGGCTGGAACCATGCTCCTATTGCCTCTTTGTGACACATGCTTAACAGTTTCATCACCCAGCGCTCCACAAGCCATGCCACTCCTTCAGAGGCCAAGGCGCCCACAGAGGGCCTCCACCTAATTAGATCCCTGCGCACCAAAGTGGGGCCCTTTTTTTCCTCTCAATAAATTAATGAATTAACAATCGACCCTTGTACGGCAGCCGCAGCCGATGCGTTTCATGGGCAAAGGTAGCATGGAGGTCCAGGCAGACGGGCGGGCGAGCGAGCGGGTGGCCCGGCTCCGTCGCAGTCTTTTTCGTGAGCGAAACGACGGCGAAACGCGAATGGAAACGCAGAAAGCAGAGGGTTAATTTGGTGCAATTAATAGCGCACTGCCGTTTGGGGTTGGCATCTGAGAGGTCTCTGACACCGTAATTACGGCTGGATGGCGGGCGGGCTGAGTCCGCGCTGAGAGCGGATCGCCTTTGAGGCCCAATTAACGCAGGCGGGGGGGTGGATTGCCTCGATCATTGCTGCAGGGCAATGTGAGAAACGCTGCCTTCTATCGTCCACCTTCTTGTTTTTGTTATAATGTATTTATGCGAGCACCATTGACCTTTTTTCGCCACTTAAAGCTGACGCTGCGACTGATCGCGGAACGCGGTTTTTCGAAAGGGCGGAGTAACTTCAGCTGATGTGAAATTAGCATTTTTCAAAAAAAAAACAACAACTTCGGTTTTGTTGGGGGTTGCAAATGGAAGGGTGGATGGAGCTCTCGGAACGGAATCAATTTAATGATGAAAAACAAGCGCAGGCGTTTAAACAATGAAGGCACAATTACATGATGAGTGATTGATGTGCATTGATATAGTATTGGTATTACATTCTTGTTAATATGATTTTAGCACTTTAATGTTACTAGTTATTATAAATATGTAATAATATGCCTCCCGCTACATGTTATGTAATTTAATTGCATGTCATGTTAAGTCCCGTATGATAATGTGAATAACGCCCCAGCTACAACCATCTCATTATAAAAAGGAAAATAGCATATCCTGAAAAACATTGTAAATTAATAAGACAAATTATTTTTAAAACTTTTAATAACCGTTTAATTTAAACTCTCTCCATAAAAAAGCCATTTTTCACAAGTTTTCGTGTAATTATCGGACCCATTATTTAATGCAGTAAAAACAAAACGAATAAATGTGGATCGCGAGCTTGAAAGGGATGGGAAATATAGTGCAATGCGTGTTTCTGTTAACCTGCAGCGCCTTTTGAAATCCGAAGAGCAATCGAAAGCTTGCGTATCAGCCCCCCCGCCCCACCCATGCAAAAGCACGCGGCAATGTTTCGACTGTGAGCACTTCATTAGTACTCCAAAAGAGGACAGTGGAACTCGTGGCTAGGGGTCACGCACTCAAACGCCGACCTCCCGGTTATTTACGCAAATTGTAGGGCAACGTTTTTTTTGTTTTGGCGTGGTTTGGCAGCCAAGAGAAATGAAACCGTGAAGACGTTCAGAAGGGTTAAACTTTGCCAGTGTGGACCGGATGATAGGGGGGGGAGGGGGGTGGATGGGATGCAGTTTAGCATGCTTTATTAGCTAGCAGTTGTGGCCGCATACTCATAAGGCTGATGCGATGTGCACCCTCCCCCACCGTCGCTCTCAACCCAACTCATTTGCATGGACATCGCCATATAGCAGAGCGCAGCCGCAGGCGAGCTGATCAATCAAGTCACCAGGACCTGGGTCAGGCACTATAACCACTCAGTCTTGCCTTTTTTTTATTTCCTCGTTAGAGGATGCTAGCAGCCAAGGAGGTGGTCTGTCTCATGCAAATGTGTGCGCAGAAGTGCGGACAGATATTCATTTATTTTCCCAAGTAACCAAAAAAAAAACATTTGGAGGGACGTGTCTTATTTTGTCCACAACTTTGTCGAGTTCGATCATTTACTAAACAGCAACAACACCGAACATTGCGTAATAATCATGACGCGATTATGGGCTACAGCGGGAATTTGTTGCCGCTATTTTTTCTTCCTTCAAATAATTTTTTTCCTTCTCCTCCTCCCTCCTCTGCGTGCTGCCGCAAGCTCATTTACATTTCTGTTATGCATTATATGCTAATGAGACGGAGCTCTTTGGGTGTTCCGGGAAAAGGTCAGACTTTCTTTCCCTCCGGGCTGGACAGAAAGATGAAGCTCGCTATATTGAGTGCGACGCTAAGCTAAGCCCCGAGGCTGGATTACCAGCCGTTCTGAGCAGTTAGTGCGACATAATCGTAGCACGGGCCATTTTGCAAGCGTCGCAGATCAAAGATGGACCGCTGACTCCCTCCACGCTTCTTACGGCCCCAGATTTTGGCGACGACACAAAGTAAAGAGGGCAACATTGCGCAGATAAGGGAGTTCATTAGATAATTCCCTGCCTTTGCTTTTCGATGGCCTGCGTTGTCAGGTTGTATGGCAGGTTTTGTGCGTTCAGTGCAGCCAAGCTCGGTTGTGTTTAGTGGAGCGGGCGAGAACTCTGGAACGGCGACGTTTGGGGGGAGAGATGGGGGTGGTAGAGAGTTGCCTGGAAGGCATCTTGAGATTAAATACAATTTTGTATTTTACCAGGTAAGGCCCACTGAGCTATACAGCTGTTTTTCAGAAGGGGCCTGGCAACATATGATATGGCCCAAAACCACAAATGAAGTGAACAAGTGAACAAAAAGAGTACTATTTTATTTTATACCTACGTGACTTTACCGAAAGAACCAAAGAGTATGAAAAAGAGTACTTGAAAAAAATTGCTTTCGTTTTAAAAATATGTTTGTATTAAAACACGTTACAAATGTAATAATTACAAGCTGCTTATTGCATGTGTGTGGTTTGATTGTGAGTGTGATTAGTTAAGCTTATAAACCAAAGTAATAGAAATATTACCGACTATAAATGGTCATAAATAGCCTTTAATGGGTGTGTGCAAAGTATTTATATAAATTGTGTTAAATAGAAATAATTTCAAATCTGTTTCTGGGTGATAACGTGGATTAATCCTCTCTTTTTCTTCATAAACATTTATTTCATTACGTAATAAAATATTAAAGTAAAAAAAACAACATGCTTCCGTTTGTCAATCCACTGCTGGAGGAAGGCCTACCCACGTGATGTCAATAATCACTGTGGTTGTGTTACCATATTTTACCGCACTATGCAGCGTGGTTTGGTGAACAATTGTGCGATTATCACTCACCGCTTATTTGAGTATTGGCCAGGAAGAAAACTCAGGTTGATAGTTTCCTAGTACAGTTGTGCTAAAAACTGCACTACCCCTTCACGCCCAGTTTACTGTGCATTGAGAACCAATTTCCAATATGCACGTTTCATCTTAATCAATGTTTTCTTAATGTGTCATTCAGAATGCTGTTCGGCACAACCTGAGTCTACACAAGTGCTTTGTTCGTGTGGAAAATGTAAAGGGAGCGGTGTGGACCGTGGATGAGATGGAATTCCAGAAAAGACGACCACAGAAGATGACTGGGTATGGTGGACTACCACACACCATCGACACAATCATCTCGCGTCGGATTTATCTTCCATTGTCAATTCATGATCATCATCAGCCGTGATCTAATCCACTGCTGGATGAAGGCCTCCCTGAACCTCTGCCATCTGGCACGATCCTGCAATGCAATAAACAATTTTGCACATGAACTGATATCACTCCATCTCCTCCGTAGACTTATTGCTGACATGGATTCGATTTCCTGGCTACCCCTCCGATATTATCCTTGACCATCGGCCAATATCCATTGTCATCTACCGCGACACTGCGTCAGCATACTGCGCCACAGTTGTTCGTGGAATTGAGTGTTTTTTTTTTAATGAAATAATGATTGTTGTTTGTCCTTGTGTCTGTGGCGTGCGTTGTGAACAGAAGTCCCTCGCTAATCAAGAGCATGCAGACAAGTCTGGGATACGGTGCGGCCCTGAATGCAACACTGCAGGTTAGTGTGCCGCCTTTGTGAAACGGTGATATTTATTATCCATTTCAATAATAATAACGAGTACAAATTATTTCGATAGACTCCCTCGCTCGCTGTCTTTCGTGGAATGTGAAGAGCGACCGACGACACATTATAGCCGCACGTTGAGTCTGGTAATCCATTCAGTGGCATCAGAGGTTTCTTGATGTAAAGCTTCCATACCCGCTGTGTAAGCGTATAATAAGCAGTGGTCGGTGATGTGATGCATATATTGCGTATCACCACATTCACAACTGGGCGACTCTTTCATTCTACACTTGTGAAGGGAATAGCTGCACCTGCAGTGTGTTGTTTGGACACGATTACGCAGAGACCCGTTGTTTGAATAGACTTATTGTGGCCATCAAATATATATATATACGCCTGATTGACCAGTGGTCATGCGTGTCTGTTCGTGGTGGCTATCTCTCCTGGGTGAGTGGCCAGATCTTTATGCGTGCCTGACTCACTGCTGCCCGGCTATATGACATCGCCAATCAAAAGGATTTTGAGTCTCACCGATTATCCATCTCCCAGCAGTTTCAAGCATACCTCCCGCCAACATTGGTTGAAAAAAAATATATACACATCGTGTTAATTTTAAACCGTGAGAGCTTCTCAACCCGAATTCAGATAGCAGTGTTTTTTTAAATGTTTGTTATCATTTATCAGGAAGATTGCCGTGGTGTAGTTCATTCTCAAGACAGTGCAATTCCGGAGGTCTTCGGTTCAGTACTATATCCCGGCGTGGCAGTTGAAACAATTTTGCAAGTTCTTCTTGGTTCTTTCGGTAAAGTCACGTAGAATGGAAATAATAAAATAATAAAAATAAACATAATAAAATAATTCTCACGACGTTTCGGCCACAACGCAAGCAGCCGTCCTCAGGTGAAGAACAGGTCTGTTGATAAGACAGAGTCTGAGGACGGCTGCTTGTGTTGTGGCCGAAACGTCGCGAGAATGATTTCATTATGTTTTATTTTATTATTTTATTATTTCCCTTCTATGTGACTGTACCGAAAAAACCAAGAAGATGAATCACTGCAGTCACGAAAGCTTTAAATCGAAAAATATTGCGAGTTTATTTAATACGCCCCCCCACCCATCCATCCATCGCCTCTGTCCACCCAGCAGCATAGATGGTTCCACCACAGTTAGTCGTTCGGCAGGTAGGAGTGTGGTGGTGGGGTAAAAAGTGTGAGTACATCCTCCACCGCTTTGGCGATGTCTGGCCAGTGAGAAGGCCAAATATTCTCAGAGCTTCTTCTAGTGGAGGCCTTTCCGCCAGCAGTGCCATGAGCAAGCAATTGCAGGGTTGCACCATTTACTTTGCTGGCCATTAGAGCCAATGGGATGTTTTAACAATTTTTTTTTTTAAACACTCCACCGGTTGATCTTTAACAGGTCATAGAGGACGGCTGCTTGCGTTGTGGCCGAAACGTCGTGAGAATTATTTTATTATGTTTTATTTTTTTTTAGTTTATTATTTCCCTTCTACGTGACTTTAACGAAAGAACCAAGAAGACAAGTCATAGTTGTGGATCTTTCCTTTGCTCTCCTCTCCAGTGCCCAGGAAGCGCTGGTACCTCGAAGTGATTCATAGAAGGTTATTAATTCCGAGGCTGCGTTAAGCTAACAAATTATTATTGTCGTCATTATTAGAGTGTGAGCTATCTCTGTAAAATGTTACTCGGCAAAGCTCGGCGTTTTGATAATGAACTCAACTGATGGGTGTGTTGCATGCCAATGTCTCCATGTGTTTGTTGATGTTCAGCGCGGGGAGCGGGAGCGCAACAGTTAGCGCGCTACGCTACGAACCCGGATACCCGAGTTCGATTCCCGCTCACGGCCAACACCAGTGACGATTATCTGAACTGGTCATGGGCCTCCCCTAGATCGACTCAGCTTGAAATGAGTACCTGGTGGGGTGTGTAAACATCGCCACTGGGGAGACAAAGGCGGCCGGGCGTGGTGCTGGCCACCCGCCTCTCGTGTGCCGTGCTGGCCTTCGTAGGTGCCCGCTAACAGCACTTGCCCCAACAGTCTGTTAAGGCTATACTGGGGGGGGGGAGGTCTTTCTATTGTGTGTGTATGTATATGTTTAGAAGATGCAAGGAAGTGAAACATGGTTTTAAACGTAATGGAGACATGAAAAATGAGAATAGGTTTCATCGTTTGGTAATGGGGAAACATATTTACATGCCAAATAAAGCATCGCTGTTCATAATGCCGTATGAAACAATAGCGATGTAATCATACCGTGTGCATCTAAAATCGTCCACTTAACTTTCATTGAGTGTGCTATCCGATGTCTTCACAGGAGTGTTTTTATAACACCCAGTGCTCCAATCAAGCCATAATGAGGCAATGCATTGTCATCAATCTTAATGGGATTAAAACAACATTTGTTGCCTTATTCATGTTCCAACAATGCAGGGCTTGTATCACAGTCGGCTGGATTTTTACCTTGAGAATGTTTTCGTGAAACAAGTCATGTGGAAATTATTTCATCTAATGCGGGACATTTTTTTCATTTCGGGAAAAAAATGTAACTGCAAGACACAGTTCCATGAATATTAATAATGTCCACGGTAATGAATTTGCATTACTGTTTTCGCTTATGGCAAATTATTAATTTTTAATCGCATTCAGCATTGGTCCACCGTAAGATGTGGCTGACGAAATGGTGATGGGTTTTTTCTTTTGCCTCTTCATTTTGCTCTGGATTTTTTTCTTCCTCCCATCATACATTTTCAAATAGACACATGAATTGCCGAAAACATTATAGAATATTTTTTTTTCAAACAATAGCACAAGGCTGGGTAAATCTCCCGTTAGGGGAGGACGTTGGTTACTGGACGTTGATTTTAGTCGTATTAACGCATCCGCGATGCCTTTTGTGTTGCTCGTACGGCACAGGCCGTTCTTCAGTAATCTGACCGTTAGCCGACATAATGCGCAAAGACAGCTGCTACTTATGAAAATGTCCTTGATTGAAGAGACGAGACTGCTATAAAATATGCATGCGGGGGAAAGCGCTCCGTTGAAAATTTCATGCAACTGGAGCACTTTTGATTAAACTAACAGCGAGAAAAAGTTTTTTTTTACTGCTCACCCCCCTCCACCACATTCCACACCCGGGTCATCTCGTGCGTAGAATCGCGGCCTCTGGTGCCACAGTGGTTTCGGAGGAGTCGAAAAATGTGGCACACGAGGCGGCATTTAACATCCCACATCAGGCCGTGTCATCATCACAGTTGTCATAATCATTGACTCGTCAGTTCGTTAAATTTAATCATTAAAACGGCCCGCGTTAACATCGTTTCTCGTCCGTGACGGGGGTATGAATGATTCCACTGGTTTTTCAACTTCATTTTCCCCGGCACACGGTCGTGCTAATCATATATTTAATAAGATAGTGCAGAAGAAAAAAATTACGCGGTTTGTTTTGCATTTAAAATGAACAGCTCACATGAATATCATTTGGACGATGAGAAATGCCAATGTTAGCTTTTTTATTATTATTTTGGTCTATTCCATGTGTCTGTTTGGGTTAGATAATGTAAACACTGGATGCGTTTATTCATTTGGGTGTTTACCCACTGGTGGTGAGATTTACCTACACTTATTCGTCACTTTGATTAAGCCGAATAATTATCATTCGAAACGATTAACGCACCTGGTTGTTAAGTTACCACAGCGTTTTTGATAATAATGATAAGTCAATTACAAGTCGCGTGAGTTATTAGTGCTGGGAGACCATTTTTATTCCAATTTAAAATGCGGTAATGTGAATGATTGCAAATGCAGAGGTTAAAGTAATAATAATAATATTTTCAATAAAAGTTAATTTTAATAAAGCCAGATATATTTGACAAGCGGGAAGGTGTGTGGTAATTCATCACGAGAGCACGCGCGGCTTATTTGTGATATTGTCTTATTATATAAATGTGGATTCATCTTTGTTTTTAATTTTCCTCTCAAAATTATACGTTCCTGTGTAAGTATTAGATTCTTAAAGTTGTAGTCCTTCCTGCGCTTGGCAGCACACTGGGCAAGACTGCTTCCCATCTTCTGCCAACCAAACCCGATTCATCCCGTGCTATTCAAATAAGTGACAAATCGTTCGTGATGTAATCTTTCCAAATTATATAGTGGGTCTGCTTCTTTCCCTGGTTCTGTTTTCCCGTTCCCAGTTCATTGCGGCAGTGGTAACACTTTTAGTTGAGGATCTGTGTTCGATTCCTGACTTGGATACCTTTCTGTGTCGAGGTTATAATTTCTCCCCCTGCTGTGCATGGATATCCTGTGGTTTCTCTAGTTTCCTTCCCTAGAAAAAAAGAAACATGCAACGTTAGTGCTCTTGGCCAAATTGCCCATTGCTGCCATTGACCCAAACAGATCTCTCGGATTGGAAACATTTGCATCGTGACTCATTCTCCAGGACAATGTCTACATAAATGCAGCAGCAGCTATATCGTAATGCTCTTTAACATTCGTAGTGCTGCAGTGGGGGAAAATATGTATATATATACATACATTGCCGTTCACTTGGCGTAACTATTGGGGCCCAATATTTACAGGCGGAGAGTTGTAGGAAATGATGGTGGGTGGGCTTATCTTCTGTTCCCTAACCCCTGGGACTTGGTCTCCCCGGGCCTAGGAACTGTAGCACCAGGTATGTCCGTACGTATGTTTAACTTGTTTTGCACCATACGTAGCCAACCGTGCTAATCGAAGGTGCTGGGAAGGACCAAAAACGAAACTCTGTCTGATTCACAGTCCAAGATGGAGGCCATTTCTGGTGGCATAATGGTCCAAATTCAGGTTTGTTCAATTCCACTGCGATTTAATAAAACCACGTCGCAACATCTCCTCCATATTGGCAGCCTAATGCTTATTTACACACTGGTCCTGTGTACACCTTGTGCCGCACAGGGACAGCTGTCACCGATGGGGGGGGGGGATCCCCCTCGGCTAAACTGCAGCAGGGCGTTGAAACGGTTGAGTCGAGACGTCAAGTGACATGAGCCTCGTTGCGTTCGCTCAAGCAGATCAAGCAAGCGGGTCGCTGCGAACGCAAGTCCTTATGCCCCGCTCGCTCCTCCCTTCGGTCGGCTCCTCGAATGCAGGCGGCGCTCGCAGAGGCCAACCTTCCCCTGCTGGGCGGCTTCGGCAACTCCCTGGCGTCAGCGGCCGCCTTCATGGGCACTGCCCCGGAGGACCTCAACGGCCTCCTGGAGCACAGCAGCAACGGCAGCAACAGCCCCAGGCACTCGCCCTCCCATGCGCTGTGAGTGTGGATGCATTACCTCCACCCCTACCTACCCACCTACCCACCCACGCCACCCCGCCTCCCCCCTCGGGCCTACACACAGGCTCGGTGAATTCTCCGCACTTTGGAGAGGCATTTTGCACGTTCGTTGTCGTCGTCGTTGTCGTCAGTCATGGTCAATCCACTGCTGGATGGAGGCCTCCCCAAGCCGCCGCCACCACCTTTCGCGATCGTGCGGAGTAACGATCCGCCTTGTACTGGCACGCGAGCTGCTTCATTGCTCCGTCTCCTAGGTGGACGTCCTCTACGGCGCGGCGATCCGTTCCTTGGCTGCCATTCCATTATTATTCTTGACCACCAGCCATCATTCCATCCAGTGGTGTGCCCTGCCCAAGGAAACTTTACTTTCTGAACATTTTGAATGATTGTAGGAACCTGTGTGTGTGTTCCATCCATATCCATTCCTCTTTCTATCTCTCGGTGTAATTCCAAGCCTGCATCTCTCCCTGCTCCTTTTGTGCAACATTCAGTTGTCTCTCCATACTTTTAATGAATGTCAACACTTTTTAGCCATATGTTCATAGCAGGTAGATCACAGTATGTTCTTTTCATTGTGAAGTTAAGCTTTCCAAAAGCACTCACTCAAACATTACAAATGAATAAAAATGACTAAGCGCATGTACAGTAAGTGGGTTTCCTGGATTGCTTTTCAAAAGGCATGACAGCGAAATAAATCCTTTTAGCGCTGGTTTCGTTTTTGTCGTTTCAAAACGTTTTGGGCAACCTTTTGAAAATGTTTTTCGTCGGGTGAATCGGGAATTGTCAACACAACTTTTTGTTTTTACTGAAATTGTATTGACATTGGATCGTGTTTATGAGAGTTATTTGTGACGGTCGTGTTATAGACAAACGTATTAACAGCTTAAAACTGAGTTGCAAAGTGTGAACTATCCCCACATTTGTCAATAACACTGTACTGTATTATAATGGAGTGAGCTGATGTTTCGGGAAATGACCCTCCCTCAGAGCAGAGAGAAGGATCAGGAAGGTTACATTTATTTAGCCGGAGATCACTGTACATTGTGGGGATCCTGAGGAAACGGTAACATTTGAAGGACATTGACACATCTAAAGCCCCAGTTTGAATTGACATACGGGCATTTTTTTTTATGAAAAGCTCTCCCGTATTAAACACATCTTAGAAAGTTGTTTTTACACTTTAAAGGCATTCACGCTTGTTTTCCGAGGTACTAATAATTAGAATAAGCTCAGTTTTATCCGTGGCCATCATTTATTGTGTGTGTAAAGACAGAAAAATGTCAGAGATCAACACAGGATCTCTGATGGCGTCAGGGGGTTACAAAGGAAGGGGTACAATTTACATTGACGGTTTCCAGCCGGGGGGAAATTGCGAGCGCCTTCCAATTGCCGCTCGCGATGTGGACGTCCGGATTGCCGCCCCCCCAACCCCCCCCCGAGAGCCACTTCCCGCGAGGCTCCACAACTTGTCCCTCCCGGCTGTCTCCTTGGAGGTGGGCGGGGGCATCTCCTGTGTCGTTTTGCAAGCCGGTAACCGGTAGCGCGCCGTTAACGCCGGCGCTGGGCATCCAACGCCTACATCGCAGAGCACGTAAATATGAACGTGACGGTGGCAACGTGGCGAGATGTTAACTGCCTCGCCTGGTTCCATCTTGGCCCCGACGCCTGCTGTGCATTTGAACGTATTGACGGTACACTGGCGGCGTGTGGTATTTAAAAAAAAAGGAAATTGTTGCAATGGTGATTTTTATTTTCCCCGCGATTCGCAAAACCTGGGTCGTCAGAAAATCTTGCGGGGTGGTGCGTCACAGTCAGTTCTCGTGATGGCAAAGCAGTCGGAAGGCGAATATCAGTGAAGATTTAGATTTCAGACTGCTTAATGAGGACCGGTGTGTTATGCCGCACTGGTGTACCGCCAATACGTCCATTTGGAGTTTGTGTGTTTCTCACCCCGTGCATTTTTCTCCGGGTTTTCCAGATTTTCCCTCCACATGTAGAATCAACGTGCTTTTAGAGTACTTGGCTGCGAGAAATGTCCACGTGACAAGCCACTTCTTTGAGTTATCATTTGGTCATCTGTAACCAGGTCGCTTTTGAAAGAGAGCTATAGTACCATTGGAACCTCATTTGCCAGTAAAAAATATGATAATTGTTTTTTTACCCTTTTATCTGGCAACAAAACGGACACCTTTTTTTTACAAGAAGTCATGTTTGCATAGACCACAATACCTGCAGTCATAATGCAAACAAAAAACATAACTCTGATAATATATGCACTGTCCTTGAAGTTGATTGGTCCTCACCCGAGACAGCTTTCCTTAGAGCCTAGTCTCACATGGGTTGGACCAGATGACGCCAAAAGGCGTACAAAGCGCTATAGTAGCTCTCGTTTAGTGTTTTTTTAGCACAGCAGTTGCAGCGCACGCCTTTTAACAATCGGTGTGGCTGCTTTTGTATCCTTTGCAAAGAAAATATAAATATATTTTGTTCCAAATTTCCTCCGCCCCCCCTTCATATTATTTATCCGCCTCAGCTCCCACTTGCAAATGACTTTAACGGCTATTGGATTACCCCTCTTGGCACGAATGCACCTTAGGCTGCCTCCTGTTACCAGCCCCGTTTGTGTGCCATGCCAATAGCTTGACATATATACTCGCCCGTGCACGCGCTCATAAACAGCAGCAACCTCAATTTGTCTGCAATTAAAGTGTACAGGTGTGTGAGTGCCTTGTTGTGTTAGAATAACCTGCGATCATTAACCCCGTTTTAAAACATCGGGCGGTCGCCCGAGTGGGTAGGGGGAGTGCTTGGGAGTATGGTAGCAAGAGCTGTAAACATTTTAGTTTTTTTATATTTAATAATAAGTTGATTTTGTTAATAATTAAGCTACTGAAAAAATTATGATAATTTATTTGCTTATGCCTTATGAATTGTGCATTGTGTTGCTTAAAAACTAAAAAAATTACGATGTATTTTGTAATCCGTCAGGACCTTGGCTCCGTCGTGTGCGAAATAATGCAGGAGCGTTGTTTCAAATGCTAGCAACTGGCAACTTATATTATTTATAACTCACTGATATGTGCGCCATTCATTGCTTTGACTTAATTAATGTGGCTTGTCAGATCACAATAATCTAGTCACATTTTACAGTTGACACTTCCCGGAGGATAAAGTAGCAGCAACTTAAAGTGTGAGCTATATTTATCTTGATACGTCTAAGCAACATAATGCAACCGCTCTTCCATAATCATTATAATAGCTGTCACAAGCCATAAACACTGTGCCAATCACACTAATGACTTCTAACGGATGATCCCAACATCCCTCAATTTCGTAACTAAATTCAGTGTTGCAGAGCTGTGCATACCTCTGGAGGGTAAAAATCTGTACGTGTACGGGTGACTGAATCTTGCAATGTTGTCATTAGTTTCAAAATCATAGAGGACCTCTTTAATGCTTTAATCAATGTGCTGTCATGCTAACTCAGACATCAGATGAGTCGTGTTTATATAATCTCGTGAATTAATTGGTAATTCATTCTTCTGTGCATTTCAATTGATATAACAGCTCAGATTTGCTCATTTTCTTTCGAGCTCGTCAAACAAGCTCAACATTCCTAGAATTGGGCGTCCGTGTGAGTGTGTACCATGTAAGAAGCAGTAGTGCAGCGGTGGTGTCGTGGTTAACGTGCTGCACTGCAAATCTGGCGACTCGGGTTCGATTCCCGCTCACGGCCAACACCGGTGACGATTATCGGAACCGGTCCTGGGCCTCCCCTAGGTTGACCCAGCCTCAAATGAGTACCTGGTGCGGTGTGCAAACATCGCCACTGGGGAGACAAAGGCGGCCGGATGTGGTGCTTGCCACCCATCCCCTCGTGTGCCGTGCCGGCCTTCTTAGGTGCTCGCGACAGCACTTGCCCCAGACAATCTGTTAAGGCTACACGGGGGATCTTTGGCTTTTTGGACCACATGAATGGTGATAAACATAGCAGCCCTACAAATACACGAGAAATAGCCCAAAATAACTTCAGTGAACGGACTTATAAATATCCCACACCTGCATCTAATACAAGCATATAATGTAGGGCTTTCATTGCGGAGTTCACCCCTGGTTGTCACGGGGTGTTTTCCCTTCCCATTACAGTTCCCCTGCTGCCACCAGTGAATAATGACATAACAGCCTGTAGGTATAAACAACCTAGCGAAAACCCTGTCTTGTACGTGTCACCAAAACTCGACACATTCATCAATAATGCCACTGCCCTAAAAGGAAATATATACCCAATAAACATGGAAATAGCTGGTCCAACGTCGGGTCAACATTGGTTCCAAAAACGGTTCCAACCGTATGGTAATGTTAGTCCATCATTGCATATTTACTGGGTATATAGTGTACGACATGATGTGGCATATCCAGCTATGTAGCACGTAGAGAGGCCAGAGATAATGAGTGAATAATATTTGAAGATTGCAGGATATACCCTGGGGTCCTGGTAGAAATACAATGTTGAGAACGTTTCCCTGTATGTAACAATTGTGTGTCTGATATTGGTGGCGGTAACTTGATGCAAATTCCGGTAATTATTGGGTAAGTAAAAAAAAACAACCTTGAAAGCAGAAAATTCTGAACATAATTTTTTTTGACAAGAGAAATTGTCAACCATATTGATCATTACAGTGGGTGCAAGACGTGTTGTGTGCGTGCATGATCACACTCCTTACACACACCCACAATGCACATCATCTCCCTTGTTGCTATAAATATGACGCCATCTCATTTGCAACTGCACACGCACGCAAGCGCGCACACACACACGCGCACACGCGCAAGCACAGATATCTGTCACCTGACGCACTCCCTGCCGCGTCGGGCGATGTCTCGCCACTGGGTTCCGCTCCCTCGCCGCACACTGCCACGCCGCTAAAAGATGTTCATTAATCTGCGGCAGAAACAACATGCATCATCTCGTCCCAGGGAGCGGTGGTAGCGTGACACTGATTGATGGTCGGATCACCTTGTCAGGGCTTCCTCTGTCTCTGATGGGGCGACGAGCCCGGTCTGCGGCATGCTAATGAGGAGCGTGAGCCCTCCTGTCGCGGCGTGAACAATTTATTAGTTGTTGCCACTTGCCGATAGCGTCTGATAATAATAGCGCCGAGCACTGCCCCCCGCGCTTCAAGCGCCCCGGCCCATTTGGTGCCTTGCGAACGGCTCGCAATGCCGGATTCCCGGCGCAAGCGCTCGCTCGCTGGCTGCTTTGCGAGAAATATAACTCGCCCTTGTGGGTAGATATCAAGATCTTCTTCTTGGTTCTTTCGGTAAAGTCACGTAGAAGGGAAATAATAAAATAATAAAAATTAAACATAATAAAATAATTCTCACGACGTTTCGGCCACAACGCAAGCAGCCGTCCTCAGGTGAAGAACAGGCTTGGAGCCTGGGGTGTGTCATTCAGACTATGTCTTCTCGACAGACCTGTTCTTCACCTGAGGACGGCTGCTTGCGTTGTGGCCGAAACGTCGTGAGAATTATTTTATTATGTTTTATTTTTATTATTTTATTATTTCCCTTCTACGTGACTTTACCGAAAGAACCAAGAAGATGAATCCCTGCAGTCACGAAAGCTTTAAATCGAAATTTAGATATCAAGAGTTTGTTTTGCGAGCTCGATGGACATTTAAAACGAGCTCGAGGCATGTCTATGAAGTAAAAAATAAAAATCGTGGCCTCGAGAAATCTTTGCCTATTCACAATTGAATGATGTTCATAGTGATAGACCCATTGTATATGCGAGTCAAATGAAAAAAATTGTTATCAATGTAATGGTTAGCGTTGTTCGTGAATAATCATCGATATTACTTTTATGGACACCCCGCATTCAAATCGGTCTCATTAGTTATGTTGAGGAAAATCTGAATGGATGGGGGGGAGTGGGAAAACATTTATTTTCACACAGGCTCTTTTCCATCCCCAACAAAAAATATCACGACATTATTTTATTACCCCCCCCCCCCATCCCTCTCCCCCCAATTTGCATCAACTGCTAGAAATCACGCTGACCTTCCGGATGAGCACAATTGCCCTCGTGTTAACAATAACACCAGCCCTCGCTTTTCTTTCAACAGACACTCCACGAACGTCAAGGAGGAGCCGTTGGAGGAATGCGAAGGCCCCCTGTCACTGGTGGCGATGGGAAGCCAGAGCCCCGATCTGGAGGACGATAGGGATCTCGATGACGACCACAATCTCATGGTGGAGATGGAATGACGGCCTCGCGAAGGAGACTCCTTGGGGGACGTCAAAGGGGGTGTGGACCCAAATCGAGTGCGTCCTCTGAACTGCGTTTCAAAAGAGCTGACGAGCTACAGGGAAATGAACGACATGCCATGATTCTGCGGACGTTGGTAAGATGCCAGCCTCTGTTGCGGTCACAACTTTAATGGGTTTTTTTTTATTTTAATACCGTTATTATTTCCTCTTGTCGATATTGTCATCGTTGTAAACGATGTGGGCATTTGTCGAACTCTTTAACTGAAGAATGAAGCATTTGCACATGTCAACAAAAATATAAAACATTTTGACTGTGAATATTCAAGAATACGGAGGAGGACGCAGAAGAAACCAATGTAAAGCAACCTCTGTGTAACGTTGGACGCGACTCCATTCAAATGATCAGAACTGGCTTTCAAACAAACTGTTGCAGACAGTTGAAACACCACGTATTTGTGCGGTAGTTCTTTTTATCAAGAAAAATGTGGACAGTTTATTGTGAGCAGCAAAGACGAAGGGAAATTGGGAAGCAAATAAAAACAAACACCTTGTCAGTCGTTGACCTGAATTAGCAGAAAGAATGCTGGTGTTTTTTGTTTGAAAAAGCTACTCTTTGCCTTGCTGATGAAATGAAAAAATAATAATGCCAGCTTGCAGGCAGAAGAAAAAGTAACTTCCCACTGACCTTGTCTCAGAAGGTCTGACAAATGTATTTTTGTCATCAAATCCAACTAAATGGAACCAAATGGTTTTTGGCAGGTTTTGCCCGCGAATTTATCTGAGTGTCTTTATACCTCGGCAACCTTGCTCACCTCTCTCATAGAAAGGAGTCATTTGCTTTCAGTGCTGGAGCAGACCAAAGGTTTTCGTAGTGTTCCAAATTGTTTGTGGAAAATGAAAGGAAAGGAAATGTTAAAACAAAGCGACAGAAAATACAAAAATGAAGAAACGAAATCCCCTCCCTCCTCCTCCTCCTCCTCAACGGCAACCATCTAATCTGCTCCGTCAGAAGTTTCAACTCAATTCGATCGCTCGTGTGGGCGAATGCACGAAGAAGCCTCGGGAGTGATTCGTTTTTCGTTTTGTTACATATTCAGAGCAACGTGAAAAAAGTTCTCCGAGTTTGGCCGGTGATGGTGAACAGAGACCTAAGGAATGTAAATAATAGCATCACGGTTATAATAACCCTTATAAATGTCACACACACACACAATAAGTTATGTTCGTTGGGACGTATTTCCTCCTCGGCGATGCCACTTGGCACGAAATGAAATGTATCGTCGTGAAACTTTTATTTCCGTGTTTTTTTTTTTTTACGCGGTGAAGTGAAACGCTCCAAGGAGCGCACCGTCATTGGGAAACGGCGGCCGTGAGAAGCTCAACGTCGCCTCTACGTAAATTAGCCTGACCAATGCTCTTTTCCAAAAACCAAAAAAAATGGTAAAACATGAACCTCCCTCGGAGCGGACCTCAACATACCACCGGCGAAAGGTATTTTATTTCAAAATAGGTGCTTTGTAGTTATACTACCAGTGTAATCATTAATATTTATTTTAATTGCTTCCCTAATTTACCTATGGTGTTTTTTTTATTGCCAAAGATATTTTGTTTTTGTTATTTTAATAATTTAGCCCAAAAAATTAACGAGAGGAACAAATGGACACGTGGATGATGAATTAATTCATAATGGGGCTGGGTATTTTGCCATCAAAAGTGTGTTGCCAGGCTTAATTGATGTTTCATTGAACCAAAGTTTTATTCTTTAACATTATTTCCAGTGTTGAAAAGGCTACGACACAATGGACTGCAACACATGCTTTATTATTTTAAAACTACAGCACTATGAGATAGCCCCTCTATTTAAACACTAGACGTCATACCAATTTCACCAATGTTGCAGGCTCAGTGTAGAGAAAGAAAAGTATTACCTTTGTTGTATAAGCTTAAATCGAGTCCACGTACTTTCTATATCATCCAAACCCTATAATCATCACCCTAACCCTCTTGAACAAAACAAAACCTGAAATATATAAAAACAAATTGTGAAACGAAGGTAATAATTTGATCAAGGTCACGATTCCAGTTTTTATTCAGTGGCCCAAGTGGTGTCTGCTCATTCCTCACGATTTAATACATTCTCAATGGTTATATTTTGTTTGTTTTTTTGTGAGTACTGAATGATGTGTTTAGGTGTTTCCGATTCAAATTGTATTTAGAATTTTTTTGTATTTGTCTGTGAAGCAGTGTGTACGAGGCTACAACCAGACATTGCCTGCCCAGAACACTTGCATTGAGTACACGATTGGGTATTCTAAAGGTGTGAGATGGGATACGTTCTTAGCACTTACAGATCTAAGCTTTTTTTAATGTCATTTCCTCAAAGGCATTCGCAAAAAAAAGCATAGAATCTTAGTGAAATTGTTTTAACAAAAAAGGAATCAAAAAGAAAAAAACTTATTTAAAAAAATGTATTTTTCAAGACAGGGACGCATCAAAAATTGTGTGCGATCAAACGAAGGCAGAGTGAAAACGTGCATCACAACTTTATGTGATTTTGTAAATATTACTACAGCCTCCCAAAAAAAACCTTACTCTTTAAATAACATCTCTTTTTTAGAATGCATACCTCAGACTAGATCAAACCTCTCTGAAATGAACTACCCTCACAGTTTTGCACTTAGCTGTAAAATACGTTGCATGAATTTTAGAGTATAAACGCCATTATCAGTAGCTTAATCATTGTTTGATGGTCGCTTTTTCATTGCTGTTTAAAACAGTGTGCTCAGATTTTGGTTCGTTATCCAGCAAATGTTTTTTTTGCTTTGAGCAAAAAAAAAAGACACGGTATTTTTTGTATTAACCTTTAAATGTTTGGCAGACATTGGTTAAATGCACGAGGGTTGGAACTGCGGATGGTTTAAACAAAACGAATTACAGAGATATAGAACAAAAACTAAATGCACCACCCGTCACCGTTTATGTCTACCACCGGGTATATGATTTTAAGAATTTTTGCAATCTTGATGTTTTCTTCTATAATGTTGTAGCATTAAAAAAAAACGATGAGAAAAATCACGAAAAAATACAAATATATGCTTGGCATAATGTGCAGAAGCTTTGTATTTAATGTATTGCTTGTAGGGATGTACTTTGTGCGTTTTACGTGTTGTAGCAGGAAAAGAAATTCCGCGATTTTTTAAATGTTCTCCTTTCTTAATAAACAATGCTCTCGAAATCTTTGCTTGATTTTTAGACGAACATTTAGGTATTAAGTCATCATCATCATCGTCGTCGTCGTCACCGTCACTTAAGTTTGAATAGAGAGCTTTCTTTTATCCTCTCATAATGACAAAGATATTTTGGTGAATGTTTTTATTTCTTAATGCCACTGCCAAACACACTTTCGCCATTGTTCCAAAGGCACTTGCTGTCCAGTTAAGCAGCAGTGGTGCTTTAAAATGAACATTTCATCACTACTTTTCAACAAATATTCCCCGGACCAATCAAATGAAGGGAATAGTGCATAATCACCAAGGATTATCTTCATATTTTAAAACGATGAATTTAACCTGTTCATTTTACTTTATTTTTTAAGTGCCAAGGAATGAGTAATAAAGTGGATGATCCTTCATTAACGTTTTGTGTATTGCGTTTATACGTAACGCACTGAATGTCGTTTAAATCTCTACTTTAATCATCCAAAGATCGCGTTGGTGTTTTTTTTTCAGAATGCAGTTCATATCACCGTGGTAATCTTGTATAGTAACCTAATTGCCGTTGCCTTTAATGTGAGTAAATGTAAGAATGCCCTCTACTGGGAATGTTGGATTTCAAGCCTAGTTTTGTGAAATACATTTTTCGATCCATTGACTAAACTATGAATCCATGAATCTTCCTTTGGTAGTAAAATAATGTAAGGACAAAAAACTAAACACAAAAAATGAGTTAGAAAGAAATGAGTTTTCAATCTGTAATGTTACAGACCTTCGTCAAACCACTGCACCACACTGGTCAGAGTGCAGGCTGGTGAAGGAGCTCTCGGGCACAGAGTCATTCAAGATTATCGCTCGCCACTAATGTTACACGTGACTGGAAATTGAACTCAGGACACGAGGTTCATAGCACAATCCACTAATTACTGCGCCATTACTCCTCCAAACATATCTTCTTTCGGAATGCCCATACTATGCACCTTAAATTGAAAATGCAACATTAAAGGCGCATCCATCGCGTCACACACACACCAGAAACACAGCAGATCGAGAATATTTGAGAATAATCGCCTGCACACACACACACCACAGAAACATTTTCTTAACAGGAAGGTGTACATCCATTTGTTAATCCACTGCTGGACAAGAGCTTTCCCTAAACCGTGCGGGTCGTAACGAGTTATGCGACCGTACTTCAAGTTGGACTGGTGGTGGCAGGGAGATGCATGACCATGGATTCATAATCAACGATTTTTGGGTTTTGATCGCGTTTATTTATAAATGTGTCGTAACCCTCTTTGCACCTGATGAGTTAATGAGTTAATGATGACGTCACCCTGCTGCTGCTCTATATAAGAACGGGAGACACAGGAGAGCCTCACCATTCTGGCGAATTGCCCGATGATGCTGGTTGCAATTACCAGCGAAACGTCGTACTCAAATTGTAAATGTTGTTGCTTCAACACACCGGTGGGCTAAAGCAGTGAACTATTTGTCTTTGTCAACGTGACACATTTTTACTGATTGGCCGTGTCGGGTGGTGGAGGGTTACGACACATTTATAAATAAACGCGATCTAAACCCAAAAATCGTTGATTATGAATAACATTGGTCGCGAAAGCCTACGTGTTAAACTGACCATGGATTCACCGCACAGCAATGTATTTCCCTGCACTGCCGACTGCTGCCCGCGACATAGCCCCACAGCCGACGACTACCTGTTGTGCATGTTGTTCGCCCATCCAAGCACTCACTGTCCGGGCCCAAACCCTGTGTAGCGTGCGGGATCAGTACGTAAGTTGAACTTCTTTCGCACCGTACGTAGCCAACCGCGCTAATCGGAGGTGCGTGTGAAGGACAACCAACTGCGCACGTATAAGCAGTTCTAAAGAAATTAGTTTTCAATCGATATTTCAAAGTGCATAGCTCACAGTGGCTTCCTAATATCGGGAGGAAGAGCGTTCCAGACGGCCGCAGAAGCACATCTGAAAGCGCGCGATGAGGTGACCACCGTCTTTGATACAATGGAGCGTATTCTGGGCAGTTTTGCCAATGGCAGCAGGGAAATCGTGTTTCTGTAATTGGCATCTTCCAAACCTGCAGGTCGATTTGCTCATCTCGTATCTGCTTTAATGTGAAGGCTACGAAGTTGCCGTACGTGGCACCTCGCTTCATCTCAACTGAACTGCTTTCGGACAGATGGTATAAATTAATTCCATGCGGACCACTCTGTTAAGCAACACCGTGATACAAGCGGGGCATCTTGCTCAAACCCAGGTGTGTGCTTTGTCATTTTTTTGGGAATATCACTGGTGCCTGGACAACTATTAAAGTCTCTGTGTGCGTTTTATTTTTTTATACCTACCCCTAATACAGTTTTTTTTGGGTTAGATGGTGTAAATATATAAATGTGTCGTTAAACCCGCCACCACCCGACACAGTCAATTAGTCAGGTTTGCCATGTAAACAGAACGTGCCAATTCGTTACTAGTACAGCACACCGGTGTGTTGGAGAGCAATGTAATGGCACGTTCTGTTTACGTGACAACCACTGTTACTAATTGTTTGTGTCGGGTGGTGGCGGGTTTAACGACACATCTATATATTTACGCGATCTCACCCTAAAAAAAAATCTGTATTATGGATGATAGTGTTCGCGAAAGCCTGCGTGTTAAACTGACCGACCCCATCGACACGATCATTCTACAAGATCTCCCCCAGGAGGTATGCCCCCCCCCCTCCCAATGATCCACCTTTGGCGAGACCAAATTCTTGCTGACTTGGGGGAGGGTGAATTGAACACGCCCCGCGCTCGTCCACGCAACACAATCTTTATACAGCCGACTTCCCCTGAAACTCACTCCAATACAGGGGGGGGGGGAGGGGGGGCACAACATACCCCCCCCCCACCACCTCCTCCCCCAGGGAGGGCTCAACGTGATCTTCACAGCCCGAGGTTGTGCCACGCGCATCTGACTGCGCTCGCAAACAGGCACATTTCGGGAACGTTATTCAGACGTGGAATGCGCTTCAGTTGCACGCGTTAGAATTGTGCAAACGCAACGATAGCTGGAAGAGGTTCAGCGCTGCAATTGCTTGCTCATGCCATTGCTGGTGAAAGGGCCTCCCATAGAGGGGGGGTTCTAGAGAGCTCTTTCTATAGTGTGTTTGGCCTGCTCTTCCACTCAGCACAGAAGTGTTGGTAGAGGTGGCAGTGTGCGCACTTTTCCCCACTGCACGTGGCCTACCTATCGACTAATAAATGCGCCAATCTACGAGTTGCAAAAGCAACATCACGTGATGCTTTAATCCCAAAAAAGATGTCCACAAATGCATTTAGAAAATAGCATGAATTCAAGTTGTATTGTAAAAATAACATCTAAAATTCTGGAGTGTTTGCTCTCCTAAAGAATCAACTTGACGACAAATAACAGCGGCGCTGTTCAAATTTGAACAATGTTCACATCACGAAAAGTTGCCGCTATGTTTGTTTCCCTGATATTGCAACGTGCAAACTACAAGTGTATATGCATTGTCTGCTTCTGATAATATTGAACCAAAACAAGCGTGGAAAGTCAACAGACCATCCCTTATTTTCACTGCTTGCAGAGAGCACGATGGGCATTTCCCAATCTCCCTTGCTCTCTCTCTCTACCTCTCTCGTGAATTACTTGAACAGCCAAATTAAACTCTGGTGATGCAACTGTCCGTTTGCGTTACACCTGGAATACAAAAAACATTTATACAATTTCCCATGGTCCCCCTTCCCCGTATGGCTGTCAGGATGCGTGCATTCACGCCACGTAGCATCGTGCCTAGCCTCGCCTGCCTGCCGGCGATGACAATGCCCCGAAAACTTTGGCAAAAAAGCAAGGCGATGTTTTCCCTTGCTGGGGGGATTGGGGGGGGGGGGCGCTGATAAATGTTGCATCGCCTCCAGTTTCCGGTTCATCGACACGAGCTTGTTGGCACCACGGCGCTGCAAGCACCCACCCACACCACCTCCCCGGTACTGTCAAGAAATAGCAAGCACTTAAACGGTTAAGATGCGGTGTTTAGTGATGTCAGGCCTGTTCGACCTTCCCCGCAGACTCGGTGCCTTTATCCGCTTTGACAGGCGGCCCTGTCGGCAACTGCCTTCTAGTCCAAGTCGAGCCTCGTTGTTTAAAGTGTGTCTTGAGGAAATAAATAATTCACCGCCCTTTACGACGAATGTGTAGAAGAAGAAGGGAAAAAATGATCGGAGCTTGTGAAAATATGCCCCGTTTTACAATTACAGGATGATATGCGCTCGTTATTATTTTTTTGCTTTTATTTGAATAACAATTTGACGTTATTTTAGTGTTACATTCTTCGCACTAATGTGTGACGATTCTTTCAGCATAACTTAACACTCGCTCATCACGCAAATTAGCAATAAATTAGCAACAACATAATTTTACACTTGAAAAATGTCTCATAACAAATCTTGTGCTTCCTTTAATGGTGCAAAGTGTTGCATTTTTGCAAGTAATGATTTCATCACATCACAACGCGCGTTTGAATAATTGTAAGTAACTTTAAATATCGTGTTAACTACACAACGAGCTTCAGTCACATCCCCGTTTTATGTGCAAATAATACGTAATTGCCATAAACTTCATTAACTGCTGTCTGGTTCGGGTCGCAGCAAGCGCTACCCCAAATTTACGTGGCGTGATTGGCCTCCGAAATAAAGTGTATATAAATTGTACGTAGCGAAGTGTATATAAAGTGTATATAAATTAGATGTGTGAGTTATGTTGCATTTGGTGAGCTTGAGTTTTTTTAAAGAGCACTTTGGAATTATTTCAGTCGAACGGACGATAAGCATCCCTTGCCCATTGACTCGTCTACAACTTCGGAGAATACACGCGCATTCTACACGAGGCTCAAAAAAGCAATAATGAAAACGACATGTTTCTCCCCACGCTCCCATCCTCCATCCCCTCCAAAAATGTTACCGGTTCTTGCAAATGTACAAAAGTAACACGTGTCACATTCATGCCACGCAATGTTTGCATCGTTCATGTAACCATGTCTCACGGGGCTATGGAGTGCGTGCGGGCGGGCGTGGAAGCGTGGCGACGGAGTTATGGCCAGCGAACTTGGAACCGGTGTTCTCTGATGTGCCCCTCTTCACTTGGATGCCGCCACCTCGTGTAACCCCAGACTGTCATCGACCTAAACCGCACGCTGTGGCCGAGCTTAAAAGGCATCGCAATGACTACGATTTCTACACTCCTACCTACCATGACCGGCGGCACCTCTCTCTCTCTCTCCAAATCATTTATTTAGTTTCGTATTAATTAATGAACACGGGCAAATCTGTTGAGACAATGGTGCAAGTTTCTTAATTCACCCTTTTGAATGAATATCTTTCCATCCAGCGTTATAAATGATTACAACTACAGTCATCCCATTGGCAGGTTGCGTCCAGTGGAGTAAAGTGTGGGTACTCCCACCTCTGCCAAGGCGTCTAGCCATGCGTGGAAGAGTAGGCCA